TAACGTTAATGTTACTCGTTAAAAGGTAATAAAAAAATCTTATCGATCATCAATGATATATAATATTTCGTAATTACTTTCTGGATATCCCAAGATAACGACTTCCTTCGTTCTAGATTAGGCTTTTCGACATCGCAATCTTTCGATTCATTAAAAGATACGGCATATTTCTAATTACATTCGTCTCTGTTTTATCTACTCGCCAAATGTAGGGCAAATACGGGTGCGCAAATAAAATTGCGTTTTACTATTATATTTTCAAAACGTTTTCAAATTTTTTGAAAAAAAATTTGTATACTTTTTGAAATTTTGTCAGTGCACACACAAGCAGTGAAAAGTTTATAATAATTTAAAATGTGTATATAAAATATAATATTATATAATATTATATAATATTTTATTAATATTATATAATATTATATAATATTTTATTAATATTATATAATATTTTTAGCATTTACCAAATATAACTGCTTTTCAGGTTGCCACTGTGTTACGTTGGGAAAATTAATCTTGTATTTTGTCTTTACTGCTGTACGGCTTTGTGTCATAATTTAATCAGTCGGCGGTAGGCATAGTAGACATTACTTTGGTCTGATTGGCTCACGATTGATTGTTGAGACTTGTTTGAGTCAGCAAATGAGATATAGGATTGGAATTGATTGGAATTGATTGGAATGCGCAGCACAGAAATACCGCTTCTTTTGAGAGGTAGAAAACGTGCAAAAGCAGGAACCAGTATGTACATACATACATATATACAAAGATACATAAATACATGCATACCGTAGATATCTAGTATATAGTTCGCGCACACGGTTCGTATCGCAGAAATATTCTTATCAGTTCGTGGTTTCACATATATATGTATTATACTTCCATTAGATCGGCAGTATCCGCTGTGATTTTCTTGGATTCGGACGGTGTTTACGTCCGAAGATTTCGGGGTTATCATGATGTTATAAAAAAGTTCTTCGAAGACACATTACACAGCTAGAAATCATTTCTTGCCAGTGGATATTTCAATTGATTTAGAATAGTTGAAGTAACAGTAGGTAAGTATAGCTCACTCGCGCTGAACAGATTGTAATCAAGCTCTCGCCTAATTAAGTTCCGTATCTCACAAATTGCATTTAACTATTATTACTTTAAACTTTTTTTAAATAGTTTTTTTCACTTTTAAAGTAAGTGTTTTGATTTAATGTTAGTAAACGTTTTTGTTTTTCCATTTTAGCGATATATTTCTTAATTACTTTGAAATAGGATATGTATTTTAAGAATTCTTTGTACACTTTTACGTATGAAATATATAGTGTAACTTTTAAATAAACCATAAATTCTTTTCATAGACTGTATCGTATATTAAAATTATGTTATTTTATTATTCGTAAGCAAAGCTGACTTAGGTCATAATGTTATCAAACTTGCGAACTATAGGTATCCGTCTTCGCAGACAATGCATCCATTGATTTTGTTTCAGAACCGTCAATATGTATCTCTTTACGTGTACTTTGGTACTATTAGCTATAGGTAAGATATTATTTATTTTCGATAATTCTTTCTTATATGGGAATTTATCAGAGGCGAAGAAGTGTTAAAATCAACATTGCTGTGAATGAAATCATAGTATGAGGAATTAAAATATATATACGGCATTTCAGGTGCTTCTTTTATCGAGGCTGTAAAGTCTCCAACATTTAGTAATGTTTATACAGTGAAGGGAACATTGTATATTCCTTATGCCGAAATTCGGGAACCGTTTTATGCATGGTACGATGGCACTAGTGGATCTAGTAGAATAGATTATTACGGAGGTATTATAAAACATTTTATATTTTGTTTTCAAGCTAAAATCGATGTTTACGCATAAGAATTGATATTACGTTTTGCTTAATTAGGAATGGTTAAGACTTTCCAATTGTCAAATAAAGGATCGTACGGAAAAAGTTTGAAGATTGTTCCGATCACCACAGAATTAGCTACCAACGACGAAACATGTCTCGAAGTCAATGGTACTAAAGAATTCAAAATTCAACCCCAAACTATTATTCCTGACACAACCGGAATGGAGGTAAAAAATTGCTTTTTCCACTGAAACATACTTAATCGAATTCTATCGTAAAATGGTATTGATTTTTTTATCAGTGTATCGGAGAAGAAATGGTAAATGGAGTGAAATGTGAGAAATGGCAAATGATACAAGAAATAGGGGAGAAAACAAACAAATATACTCTTTGGATACAATATCAGGTAGGAATTATTATAATTTATGTAAAGTATTTCAAGTACTGTGGAACTCGTATTAAAAATTAACTTAAAAATAACTATTATTAAAAACAAAAGTATTTCCTGCTTTTGCTTGCTGTTTGTATTTTAGTTATTGGATAGTTATATAACTATGATAGTTAAATAATTATTTGATAAATGATATTTTCTACTTAACTGCAGAAATCACCACGAGCGCCAGGATTACTGGAACCAATTCCTGTGAAATACGAAATGAGAGGATTCAACAGCCTTTTAGGCTCGCATTATGATCATTATTATTTAAATTATGACTGGTATACGTTCCAAAAGCCTAATTCCGAAGTATTCGAGATTACAGAAAGTAAGCAGAATATATTTATAATCATCAGTACCAACTTCATTTAGAGTTGTATGTTAATTACACAAAATGCGTATGTACAGATCTAACATGTGTCAGTTTCCCCGGACCTGGAGAAAAACACATATACACGTTTAATCCTATGCGCGAGTTTGTTCACAATTACGATGCTCATGTGAACGAAGCTTTCGAAGGTTTCAAGAAAGCCCATAGCAAAGACTACGCGAGTGAAGTTGAGCATCATACGCGCAAGGAAGTATTCAGGCAAAATGTAAGGTATGTATCAACACTTGTGTGTGAACGCAATTCTTGAAATTAATATGAAACAACGATATTTTCAGATTTATCCATTCTACCAATCGTGCTAACAAAGGTTATCAGCTGGACATTAATCGCTTGGCAGATCGTACCGAGTTAGAGTTAAAGGCCTTACGTGGCAAACAATATACCAAAGGTTACAATGGAGGACAGCCGTTCCCTTATAATGTTGCACGGGAACAGGAAAACATTCCGGAGTCTATAGATTGGAGGTTATACGGTGCTGTTACTCCTGTTAAAGGTTTGTGATTCACTTAATGAAATCAAATTGATAACATGCCGTCTACTGAACAAGAAATTCTTTGCAACGGCATAGATCAATCTGTTTGTGGTTCCTGCTGGAGTTTTGGTACGACTGGTGCTGTGGAGGGTGCATATTATATGAAGTATGGCAGAGTGCCACGTTTGTCTCAACAGGTAAGGAAATCCTCAATATAGGGATTAATTGTTGAGTATTAAAAGCGAGGCTAGTTTTTATTGCCTTTTAAAAATAACTAGACCGCATTTATCACGAAATTGCACAATTTTTATTACAAGATACATCCGAACTGAATAGATGTATCCAGTAATTGTTCATAAAGGCGTCTTTACGATCTCAATAATTGTAAAAAAAAGGATCTGAAGTAATATCTGTTACAGCAATTATTTTCTGCTATTTTGTTTATTCATCAAAGATACGAAGTTCACTTTGAGTCTCTTAGATTGTAGTGTTTCAAAATTACAGGCGCTTGTCGATTGTTCATGGGGCTATGGAAATAATGGATGCGACGGTGGTGAAGATTTTAGAGCATACCAATGGATTATGAAACATGGAGGGCTGCCTACCGAAGAAGATTATGGTGGTTACCTTGGCGAGGTAAATAAATGCCATAGTACGAGTATAGTTGCAAAAATCGATAAACTGATAACTATAATAGCATCGTTCTTGGTTTCATATACCACGTATATGCGAATTTCAATTAATATTTTCATTTTCCAAAATATTTAACAAAACCGAAAGATATATTTATTAACAAGCTTCGTAATTTGTAAAAGATTGGGTCCTATTTTGTCTATATAATTTTTTTTATAATTTATAAATTAATTATAATTTTCTCATAACTTTTTTTAGAAATTTCACTGATACGGTTAATTAGCAACTAATATATATGTTTTACATTTTTTTTTATTACCATCTTTAATTTCCGAGATACTTAACAATATTAACAATATACCTCACTTCGTAATTTAAGAATTAGTTATTACCCTCGAAACATAAATATACATGGTTATAAAAAATATCGTGTTAAATATGTGTACAAAATTTGATTATCTCTTTATATTCTGAAT